CTTGAAATCTCAATATATTGTTGTTTTCAAAATAAAAGAAAATGTCCTGATTGAAACGAAAACAGTAATACATTGCTGATACTAACTTTAATATTGCGTTATCAGAAGAAAAGCTGACTGAAAAATTTCCAATAACCTGATAGAGATCTATGTAGTCTGTCTGAAGACGTTTAAGACTGGCGTCACAGCTCTGCATGATGTGTTTTCTTCCTAACCCGACGTTATTCACATTCTCTCCCATGTCAAACCCAACCTTCGTGGCTATCACAAAATTCTCCCTTTTCTGTCTGTTAAAAGAAATCATTACAGAATAAAATTTCTTTCAAAGTCCAACTACAGATATACAGGTATAAAAGTTATGAAAATTTCGTTTGTCTTTAGTATACATGTATTACTAAGCTGGCAAACAAGAAAATGCAATCACGTAGAACAACAGCAGATGCCATTTTGATTGATTGTTGTTTTGAATCCCATTTGAGAATTTTTTCATTCATACTGGGATGTCGCCATTTCTGCCAAATTAGACCTATACTCGGCACTCAGGGCCATTGAGCAGTGAGGGTTCTTTATCGTTCCGAAGCCTACCGGGCCTCGGTTTTTAAGGTCTCATCAGAAAGACCCTTGGCTTTCACTTCAAGTGCCGGGCGCTTGGCGAAGGAACAGTTATTGCCTATGTTTACGTCTTAGGTTTGACGCGGCGCGGCAAACGAGAAACGAACACGAACTCGGGCCTCCCTTTCACGAAGCGAACACCTTACCACCTGGCTACCGTGACCGGTGATACCAATGGTTTTCCAATTTCTATCAGCAAACAAAAACTTACTTTAAAAAATACTCAAAAAGATTTCCATCAGTATGGAATGAGAACATTAAGCTTAATGTCGTAAAAAATGGGTAGATTTTTATCGGTAGGATTTCTATATAATCTTGTTCCTGAATAGATAGCCATCTGTAGGAACTCTTTATAACATTACAATATCTACTGGATTTCCATGTGACTATTTTGGAACAGATATGCTGGAAATCTATACGATATTGTATTTAGTATTATGAACCATCTCATACCAAATGCTACAATTGAATAAACTTCATTTTAAACTACTTAGTATGCCAAGCAGTTACCTTGCATTAATTTATTTTAAGACTAAAGAAATTACCGTGAGTTAACATTTTATCTCCTTATCGACCAAATGAATACAAAACTGCAATTTGTAAGCTAGAGGAAAAAAGTTATATGCAGTGATCGATACCAGTATTTCGGGAATAAAATATAAATGTTATACAACAACGCCTTTTCACTATTTTTCTTGTATTTTCAAAAAGGCATATATTTATATGAGCAAGGGTTTGGATACAAACTTCCTTCAGAAAAGGTCTCTCATTCTTAATATAAACAGTGGGGCCTCAACATCAATAATCCGCCGCTTCACCTTCCGGACGATGTTTGTTTTTCGAGAATAAAATTTGCATTTATATCTACCATTTATGAAAGGAACGTTTCTTTTTAAAATATTTTGGATTATCAACGTTTCGACATGAGCATAACTGAAGAAATAAATTGTCGAAATGCGCATCTGGTGCAAAAATTGGTACCGTATATGATTTACATTCTGTGATCCGGACGATTAATTAATCCGGAAATTTTGCTGAGAAACACAAGCTTTGGGATTAACAAGGCTCGACTTTATTGTATAATGATGATTTAAATATATTTTGTCAGATTAACTACTCACTTCACCAACCACTCGCCAATGATGCCCTCAGAAACCCCTTTAGAATACAAGTTTGCAGTATCAATAAAATTTCCTCCGAGAGCAGCAAACCGGTCGAGAACTTTATGTGAGGCATCCTTGTCTAACTTCCCTATCTATAAATAATAAAACTTTCAGATTAAACTTAACATTGCTTTATGAAAATATTTGAAGAAGGTTTCAAATTTTTAAAGTAAATAAATGAAAAATTTGAATTAGACAGGTACTTATCAGTTGACAATTCCACAAAAAGATTCATCGGGAGCGAAATCTTTCTAATACTGACTGAAGAATATTGTAATGCAAGTTGTAACTCCCCTGTATATTTTTTCATATGGGAATACTTTGGTAAAACCAAATGAAAATGTACCGTAAGAGAAAATCTTAAGATTAATTGCAAATTGTAAGATTTTCAATGAAATAGTTATTAGGTAATTAAAATATGAAACTTTTGTGCTGCATTTTTCAATCAAGTTACTTAGTACATATCTTAATGTATCTGAATAATTACTTTTTTCGATATTTCAGTAGTATGCACATAGATGCAATAAAGTCTGTGAATATTTACTCCTTACACCTTATACTGTATATTGTAGGCCGAGAGAAACGTCCATACTTTCTGACATTATCAAAGTTCAGTTCACGAGAAAATGTTTATTAGGAAAAGCTTATGTTTTTCAAGAAATTTGTTATGACAATCTGTTACGGACTGAATGACAATTAAATAATCAAATAAAATTGTTTTAATATGCAATGTGATAATGGGAAGGGGTTCATAAAAAGGGAAAAAATGTTTTTAAGCAATGTTCCATACCCACCTGTTGATGACCGAACGTCATAGTCCCCAAACAAATATTGGACACACGAAGTCCTGAGCGACCGAGGTAATTGTACTCCATGACAGAAGATCCCTAAGGACTTGATTCCGACCTAACTTTCTTTTTCTAGATTTTTCTTTCTTTTTCTAGATTAATGAAGAGTTTATGAATGTTAAATCCTAAATCTTATGAAGACCGTATACAAGACACCTTATTTGTAATCCGGGTCAGATTAAATCTAATCGTGTTAAGGCGATACATTTGTCGACTGATATAACTCAGGTAGAATACTCTACACTATTTTAAATATCGTGCTAGATTTCAATTGGCCAATATAATATGTTTTCTCTAGCTTTCTTTGAAAAAAAAAATATACAAAATAGTTGAGTTCTCTGTGAGCTAACGAACATATGTTCATCTCATAAATCCTATAAACAGTACAAGGCAAATCACAAGATGTGGGATCAGATGCCGAGGAGTAATAAGCATCCCTTTTCCTTGGTCCCACCCCGCATGAACCCTCTAGATCTGTATTGCTCAGGTAAACGGGTAGTCCATCGTCAAAATTATTTTTTTTTAAAAAAAATAGCAAAACAATTGGAACGAAGCATGGCAATTTTTAAAAAAATCCAAAAATAGGTTGAATTTTCAATGAAAAAGGTGAAGATAACGAACAGTGATCTATCTCAAAAATCTAAATACAATACAAATTTGTGCAGGGCAAGAAACACGGACCCATGGAAATTCTCTAGGTAAGATCAGGACATGGGAGAAGTAAGCATCCCCTGTCGACCAGTCAAAACAACCGTAAGCCATATGTACATGTATTGATCAAGTAGACGAAATAATCCGTGGTCAAATTTAATATAAAAACAAAGGCCTAACACTATGTTTGAAACATGCCAGTCAACATACGTTTGTATTTGCAAACAATGTCTTTGTGACGACCATAAAATTTTCGAAATGCTTACTTTTAACGAGACTTTAAAAATCCCTTTTACATCAATATTTGTCAGTAATTAACCTGCTTCAGTTTAAAAATTGATCGTAATCAGATCATACCCTTGCGTATCGAATAAGTTGTGAAACATAAACATCATATGCAGGTGAAAGTGGAATATCACTACATAGATAAGGAAAGTTGACGAAGGAAAATGTTGTTAGTTGTTAGTTGGCCATTATCTTCTATCTTCAATAATACATCCAAAATATGAAACGGATGCGGCGCCTTTTATGTCGATTTCACCGGGATATATTAAGTCGACATATTAATGAGTATAACTTTTGTTAATTGAAAAAACTTCGTGGATATATCTGAATGTCGACTTGAAGGCCACAGCAAGGGTTTTCTTTTTCTTAGTTTAAAAATTGATCGTATTCAAAACATGCTCTTGAGTACGGAATCAGATGACATTAACGTTATATACAGATAAAAGTGCAATATTAATGTATAAATATGGGAAGTTGGCGATGGAAAAGCTTAATTTTTAGTTTGCCATTTACGTCTACAGACAGTAAAACATTAAAAACATCCAAATTTGTAACAGATGTGACAGAACCTGTGGAGTAGCTTAATTCAAATTCACTGGGATATATCAATTCAACATATAAATGAACTATTACGACTGATTGATTGATTGTTTGATGTTTAACGTCCCTCTCGAGAATTTTTCACTCATATGGAGACGCCACCACTTGCCGGTGGAGGGCTTCAAATTTTGACCTATACCCGGCACTTAAGGCCATTGAGCAGTGGGGGATCTTTTTCGTGCCAGCACCTACCGCGACACGGGAACTCGGTTTATACGGTCTCATCCGAAGGACCGGTCTCCACGTCCCGCAATGGGATTCGAACCCTCGACGTAAGGATCAACTCCCTACTTCGCGACTCTAGAGCAGACACTTTAACCACTGCGCCACGCGGGCGACGAACTATTACGAGTATTAATTGATTAAACGTCAATATATCTTAAAGTTTAAATGAAGGCCATAACGAGAGGCAGAGGCTTCTCCTTTTCATGTACATGTTTTGTAAGGAATTCTGCTTCATAAGAATATAAAAACAGGAGCACAGCTTTATTGGAATTAGAATTCTAATAAAGTGTCGGAAGACCTGGTCTCTAAATACTAGAACATGTACTTTTAAAAGAATATTGTCAGTGAGGAACTCCAGCATCTTTTCAATATTAACTTCAGAGTAATTGTGTGTTTACACAATAAATAAGATTTGTTACTCGTATTTCTGCCGAATTCTCGGATTTTCTTGTTTCAGTTTATTAAATTTTTTTTCAAAGCGTAAATGTTCTATATTTCCTTATTACCATAAAGTCAAATCTAGAAATTGCAGAAAAACATGAAGAATAACAACTCTCAATATAGACTATAATATTTAATTGTTCATATCTCTCCAGATGTATGTAATATTGTATATTTAAAATTTGTTCTCTACGAATGGATAAGGATAGAAAGAATTCACTCTGTTGATGTTGCTGCGATATACCATCTCGTATGGGTACGGGGTTTCTGGCTTAGAGAGAGTGTCTAGCTCATCCATCTATAAATAAAAACATTAAGGACTAGCTGAAAAGACAATAATAAATAAAAGCATTCACTCAGGTTAATTTTTCAAGAAAACCAATCGAATTGGTTTGCTACACATGAAACAAATATCAATGCATATTCTTTTGTCTTGCACTTTTTATCGCCTACGAACAAGTATGTCGATATAAATGGTTCATCCTGATACCACTATATGTTGTTGAAACTAACATCAAGAAAGTAGGCAAGGGAATTAAAAAAAACTCGTTTATGAAGATTGTGAAATTTTTTTATATAGATCTCTTTTTTGGAAAATTTCAATGATATTATATGCCAAGCGAAAATATATACGAGTACAAATTTTGAAAAAAAAGTACAATACACCATGTAGGTCATTTGGCTGTTTTCTAAATCCTTCTTTATACACGTCCAATTGCTTACATACCAATTCAACCTTAATCCTATATAGTGACATTGCTTTGGTTTAAGTTTTTTTTCCATTTCCTTTTCTTTACTATTCACGGAGAAGGTATATGATAGAGGAAATTTTACAATTTTTCATTTCGATCGTACAATTCTCTCTCTCTCTCTCTCTCTGTGTGTGTGTGTGTGTGTGTGTGTGTGTGTGAGGGTGTGTGTGTGTGTAGTATTTTTACTTTGTTCCTCCAAAGAAAATAATACGTTGTTAATGGAGATTGCGTATTTCTACCTGAAAAGAATCTATATAATTATATAACAGAGCCACTAATAGGATGGATGAGAAAAGTTGTATTTTATACTTAAACAGAGTTTGACTGAAGACTCCAATTATTGTGAACACAAACGTTACCTCTTCTTTTGAGAGTTTCCAGTTATTAGCCGCTCCAACATTGTCTTCTAGCTGCTCAACTGAGTTGGCTCCGATGATGACAGACGGAACCACATCCTTCTGAAGTAACCACCGGATAGCCACCTGAGGCACTGTCTTCCCTGAATATAAATTTACATCTACTTTTTTCTATGTCATGAATTCACTGTTTTACCTGATGCATGAATGTTGTACTTTTTAACGATTTATCTTTCAATAGTATACTGAACAAGAGACTTTTTGCTTTTTGCCACTATTCTCTCCTTTTTCCTTCTCTCTACTTACAAAGGAGTATGTCGATAAATGAAACTCCTTTTATAACTCCAAACTAGGTCAAAAATATTTTTTTACGAAAGCCGATGTTGTAATTGCATTAAAATCAATTAAAAATGAAAAATTCATATGAATATCAACACAATGAGAAAACAAATAAATGCACACGTTAAATAAAGTTCTTTCAACAGTGTAAAGAAATTGATCGACAGTACCATTTTCTTTAGCAATCTTCTCCATAGCTTCCAGTAGTTTCCAGAAATCTTCATTGTCGTCATATTGACTCCAGGCGGGGGCAATTTGCAATGCTTTAGACTCGTCCTGGGCAACGAGACCGATTCGTCCATCTGCTACTTTGGGCCGCGACCCACGTTTGTATTTACCCGTCAGCATTCCACTAATAATAGATTTTCATAAATAAATTCTACTAAAAAGTAAAATTTAATACAATGATAACTGTATTTATAAAACATTTTTCTCAGAACTCAACAAAACTGACATAATTGAGTTTAATAAAATTGGGTTTTGCTTTCAAAAACGTTTCCTTAAATCATGACTTTAAATGCCTGTATTTAATGTTATATTAATTATACAATGGTTAATTGTATATAACTAAAACTTTTGTTAACCGACAATGTATCTGCTAATATCCGAGAGACAATGCATGGGCTTCTCATAGTAAATATAGACCAAGATATACTATGTAATAACTTTTTATTACAATTGTTAATCTCCATGCATTATCCTAACAAATCTCTGCATTCAAACTCACTGGTCAGGTTATAAATTTAAATACACGTGCTGTTTAAGTCAATTTGGATGTATAGGGCACCAGAGAAGGACACGTTATCCTGTGCTCATAATTTTACTCTTTTATTTTTTCATGCCAGAATTCTAGCTACATAGGTAAGCGTATTATTTTCATATTTATTTGAAAGTTACATATTAATTCGGTTGCAGATTCTGTCAAGTTTCTTCGTTGCATTTAATCATGCTGAAAAATAGCTTACTAGATAAAAAAATTAGATGTCTATTTGACTTTTCTTAATATGAATTTATTATATATTTATTTACATTATACAATAATTAATAACTTTTTTGAGCTTTTAAGTTTGTACATTTGAAAGCATACCCCCCTCCCACTTTATATATTTTCTCTGAAAATACACTACAAAAAATAAATAAATAAATAAAAGAAAACAAACCATATACAAGTCCTAACTCTGACATAAAGGAGTCTTTAAAACCATTTACCCCTTTAATGGACTCCATGGCAACACACCAAGACCTTCATTCTTACAGACTTGAAATTCCTCAAACTCCGGATGCCGACAAAGTAAACTGTATTGTTGCTGTGCAGTAGAAAAAATACAACAGCAGTTACTTACTTTTTTTCAAGCAAACAATAATACGCAATTATGATTTTGCCTAATATTTATTTTTATGCATATTATCAGACCAACTTTACTTGACATGGGATTTTTGAAATGATACATGTATTACTGTTAAAGCGTGGCGCATGACTTGTATGCTTTCCTGATTTTTTTCCCGAAAACAAGTTGACCAAGGAACATTCTCTCTGAATGTCTTATTGTTTGTTTTACCTGGAGACTGATTATTGGTGAGTAATTTTCAGACTTGCAGAGATCCACCACTTTCTGAAGCTGCCAGCCACAAAGATTAGACACCCCGATGTATCGCACCTTACCGGATGTTACTAGATCGTTGAACGCCCTTAACCATCCTTCCGGTGGAGTAGCATTGTCCCATAGGTGCACCTATGGAATAAAAATCTAAAATACAATTATTTTCACTAGCAAACAATGACATTGAGCCCCTTTATCCAATCAGCTTGCTGATTCATTGTCTTTTCATATAATTAAAAATTATTTTCAAAGAAGTAATTTCATTTTTTGATAAAAAGGAAAAAAGTAAAATATTAATTTCATAATCATCATTTGCCATCCATTAAATTTATAACATGTTTACAAATTTTCTATCTTTGAGGAATTCTGAAATGAAACAAAACAAAATAAAATTAAAGCATATATATTGTATTGTTTTGTCTTGTGGCATAAAGTGTTATTGAAAGCATTACTTTGAGTGAATAAAGGAAAAGCTGCTAAGTTTCCAGGTTACCTGATATAGATCTATGTAGTCTGTCTGAAGACGTTTAAGACTGGCGTCACAGCTCTGCATGATGTGTTTTCTTCCTAACCCGACGTTATTCACATCCTCTCCCATGTCTGCCCTCACCTTCGTAGCTATCACAAAATTTTCCCTTTTTTGTCTGGCGAAAGGAAGTATTATAAAAAAACATCTTTCAACCTCCTACTTCATCTATACATACAAATGTATATGACATTAATTGCTTTACATTGCGACTGACTTTAGTTATTACCAAGCAGGCAAATACATGTAGTAGGTCACATACAAAAATGACTGACACAGTTTTAAACGTAATTTTTGACTGAAAATTGTTCTCCACAATTTTATTTGTTTAACAAACAGAAATAATGACTGGTTTTGGTTTTTTTTTTTCGTCTTCTCTCATTTAACGTATATTTGCTGTGTGTGCACATTTTCCTTACAATTCCTATTTTAATTTAAGTTCAACAGCACTAAAATATGTGACTTTTCAACGCTTTATACAACCATTCCTCACAAAAAAATCAAGAGCAGACTTTTTGACGTCATAGACTACAGCTTCCTTAATGAAAATGCTACTCGTAAATTTTCATATCTCGTGATTGGTCATCAATAAAATTACTTTGCTAAAGATTATTATAATTCTAGACATAAATAATCTGAATTTTATATTTAAAAGATGCTTGAGTTCTCCATTGACATTATGTTTTCTTTAGAGACCAGGCCTTCCAACAATCTACTGGACTTGCGATGGGAACTAATTGTGCATCTATATTAGCTGACCTGTTATATATTTTTTATGTAGATTTGGAATTTTTTCTTTATATAACACTATTTGAGCAACGCTTTTTTAAACTTATATTAAACAGGTTCGTTACATGACCACAAATACATTGCTAAGTCATATGCGATCGACGGAATTTCTCAGTGACCTCATCAGTAGTTGACGCGTTCAAAACATTCATTTTATTCCGTTGAAGTTTGAAAAAATAAAACACTTAATGGATTTACATCTATAACACAAAAATTTTCGTTAAACATCGGTCACAAATGCAAATATAAGTAACAAGGTTTCAATTATATATATTGATTGGGATATACATACAGCAGGTACGTGAACAAATCTAGCGTATTGCCCTTCTGGCTTTTATTGGGTTTGATTACGTGACCAATCCGAATTTATATCCCAATAAATGCTTAAAATATAATGCTTTATTACATAAATGAAACAGAATTTATTTTTTAAAAAAACTATGTGAGAAGAACAAAACTCCTGTTGTGGATTTCAATTCAACAGTTATGGAATGTTTTTAAGCTTTGTGTGAATTAATGGTATGTAAATCACACAGAATTGTCAAGTAGGCATATATCATGAAGCGCGCTAGCACAACTGCTCCTTACTTTGATATTTTACAGACTATAGCCACGTAATATGATAGACCAATCAATATGACAAACGGTATGACTTCAGTTTTTCAATCGTCAACTCTCCTTTTTTATGTATTTATTTAATATTTTACAATCACCCGCATATGTGTTTATTTACATGTATGTCTCCAAATTTATTCGAAGCTCAGGTGCAATAGCATAGAGCACCATCTTAGTATGATCAATTTAGAAAAAAAAAGCATTAACAAATAATTTCGAGGTTACAAATGTGCGGTATTTTTCATATAATCTTAATATGTATTGTAAACTAAATGTAAAATACAGTTGCAAAAGTTGGAATCTAAGTCTGTGAATCTTTTCTAAATAATTCTGAATATTTCTGTATGCACATTCACTTGTGATGACTGTGAGCATTTACGTCTTAAAAAAAACTAAATAAAAAAATAAATATGTCTATAATATAATCGTAATCAGTTTTGATAAACTAAAATACGCACCGCACCAACCACTCGCCGATGATACTCTCAGAAACCCCTTTGGAATACATGTTTGCAGTATCAATAAAATTTCCTCCGAGAGCAGCAAACCGGTCTAGAACTTTATGTGAGGCATTTTTGTCCAACTTCCCGATCTATATACATGTATGATAAAGCATTGAAACAAAACACTGTTTTATGCGAACATTTGAAGTATAGAAGTGATTTGCAAGAAAATTACAAAACTGTACGTTGTTAATAAATTGCATCAGGTTTGCTAGAGAAATTCTCAAGGATTTTTTCCCTAGGGAAATTGCTTTCAAATGTATAGGAATGGGCTTTTGTTTTGATAGTGATAGCTAATATTAAGTTGACCAAAAGAATACTTATGTGAAACTGCTTCAAAAATTGATCTAAATGGGGAAATACTTGAGAGAATTCGTTAACAGAGAGCTTTTTAGTGAAAAAGTAAATATATTTTTTAGAATATGAAACATTTTTGTTGGATAATTTGATGAAGTTGGAATCTAAGTCTGTGAATCTTTTCTAAATAATTCTGAATATTTCTGTATGCACATTCACTTGTGATGACTGTGAGCATTTACGTCTTATACTAGCATATTTTAGCCGGGCAAAGCTTCCATACCTAAATACCGACTTTATCAGAGTTCAAATCACCACTGTGCATGCCTATGTTACTGACTAAACTGTCAAGTTAAATTTGTCTACTATGCTGCAAGTGATTTATTGATTAATTAATTAATACATGATAATTTGAGAGGGTATGTAAAGCGCACAAAATATGTTTCTCAAGCAAAGTTTTATACCCACCTGTTGATGACCGAACGTCATAGTCCCCAAACAAATATTGGACACACGAAGTCCTGAGCGACCGAGGTAATTGTACTCCATGTCAGAAGATCCTTAAGGACTGGATTCCGACCTAATTTCTTTTTCTAGATTGAAGAAGAGCTTATGGATGTTAGAACCAATGTTTTATGGTGATTATATATATGTATGGCACCTTACTTATTCAACCCGGGTGACACTTAATCTTATCTTTTCAGGGCGGTTCGTTTGATAAATGATATATCTCAGGTCTTTTTTCCCCCCCTGTGTTATTGTTGACATCGTTCAAGTTTCAAGTTTCCAATAAATTTTTTTTCTCTCGAGCTATACATCATTTTTATTAATAACATTAGCCTTGTGAATGGTATTATACATGTACTAAACAGATTACGCGATAAGTTGTTGACGGTTTTTTTCCCGAATATTACATGAAATATGGCACATTTGTCTGGCATTGTATTATTATTAAGTATTTTCAAAATTAAAAAAAAAAGTTTATACCTTGACAGGTATGCGGTTAGCTACTTTATCACAATGTTGAATTGGCGACACAAGATAGTATATATATATATATATATATATATATATATATATATATATATATATATATATATATATATATATATATATATATATATATATATATATATATATATATATATATATATATATATATATATATATATATATATATATATATTTATATATATATATATATATATATATATATATATATATATATATATATATAATATATATATATATATATATATATATATATATATATATATATATTCACTGACCCCCCTATATAAAATAATTAGTCAATTCCGAATGGAAAGCAACATATTTAACAGTTCTTTAGAATAAAAACAGTACTAAACCGATATAACCAATGAAAAATAAAAAAAAAGTCATTCTACAAAAACATGACCAATTAAGAATTTTTTATGTCGCTTACAAATTTACCGTTATAATATCTTAACTATAACTTAACATGCACACATGGTTTTGTAAATATTCACCGATATATATGCAGTTAAAGTTTTGATATGAACATAAAGTAATGTTGAAAAACGTATTCCTTTGCAAACCTTAATGTCGCTTCGTTTATTTACAGATTTCAAGATGGAATTTTCAGCCGTAAAATCGTTCTGAATAGATTGCAATGAATGGTAAAATTCATGCGAGACTTCATGAATCATACTTAAGCGTTCTTTACTGAACATCAGAAACGAAAAATTGGACAAGTTCAGCTTTATCTAAAAAATAATAAGGCTTGATCAAGCATTAACTTCCGTAACATTACCTTAAAATCAATGGTATCTTGAAATTGTTGTAAAAAGTTAACGATACCAGATTTGTGAACAATTCTTTGTTTTCAAGTTCACTGATATGTCAATTAGAGAATTACGATGTTCATTTTGCTATTTGAAAAAAAACTGGGGTTTTTTTTCATGTTTTATACTCTAAATTGGTACATTTTATTTAGTAAGAGTGTAATTTTGGCAATGCAACATTCGTATCCAAATAGAGAAGCCAATAAGAAAAGGTACCTTGTTGCAATAATATAATTCTTACACAAATGATTTGTATACGTATTTTCTAAAAAGCTGGCAAAATTTGCTGTAATATTTAGCAAAAAACTGGTTCAAGGGACACAAAATAACTGCATTTTGTTCTATCCAGCTTCATTTTTGAGTAACGACATAAGACAATAATAACGCTTTTTTTCTTATCTATGACATTTGAGCTGCTTAAACTTATGCCTTGTTGGAGTTGATGACTTAATAAACAAATAGATTTGTATTACATAATAAAATGTTAAAAAAAATGACAATGTAATACATTTTAAGTGAATTTCTTGGACATTTATTAAAGGACGCTGGCTCTAAATGAAAATATGTCGAACAAATATTTGTATTGTGTTCTTAAATATCTAAAAAGGGACAAAAAAGAAGTTCAAAAGCCCATGTAAACCCTTTTGTTCTTGGCCTGTAGTTAAATACATGTAGCTTTACGTGTTTCGTAATTGAAGGATAAAGATGATGGAAGAAAACTTAATTAGTGTACATATTTCTTTTATTTCTTTTTCTATGAAGAGATTAACGAAAACCTACCTATCTTTTTATCAAAGATAAGCTTCTGCTCGCTCAATATGTTTTTATCTATTGCACATGCACATGTATCTGTAAGATGTCTTTACTCATTAATATGAACCACAATCGAATCCGCCATTGAACAAACTTAAATCGGCTTGGCCAAGATCAGGTGCCCATGTTGGTTGCAGATTAACAAAAAAATGAAGTTAAATGAAATGTACTACAAGTATGTTCTATGTAACACTACATCCTTTTGGCAGATTGTCTGAAATTTCTGTCCATTTCTGTCAAGCGGTTAAAAAGATTTCACTCTTACTATAGCAGAGACCCAAGTGGGCTACGGACTATACATATTCTGGCATAACATTCATCTTTATCATATTCAACTTAACAAAAAAAGCCTTATTCAAATACAAACTCTTCAAAAAACATTGTCTGAGCAAAACAAATCACATAATTTATTTCCATTTAAATGTTACCGTATATAAAGGACATGGGTAAATTTGTTTAATCTTTGAGAGTTTTTCTACTCTTAATATTTGGACATTTGAAATAAAAATACATTAAAGTACTTTCAATTTTTCTAAAGATACTGTATATGGGGATGAAAATTTCAAACTTATTTGGTAATACTCAGAGAAAAACTGTGTCAGATATTTTTTGATTGACTGTTTTGATACCTTGGGCTACGGACTATACATATACATGTAGTATTTTCATTTAATGAGATACCATAGAAAAATAGTTGCTTTTTTCAGTAAATATTTGTTAAAATTATCATCTTGGAGTTCACATGTGTTTAATAAATCCTTTCATTTGGATATTAAATCAATTTATACAAAATCCTGTGAAATTTAACAAAATAAAACAAAAACTTTATATAAATTCACAATAAGAGTAAAATATAAATAGTCAGAACAAAATAATACATGTCAGAATTACATGTAATTGGTGTTTGATAATAAAATATTGTTTAAAACCATCTAAAGACCAAGAAATAGCTTTAATATAGCATCTAAGAAGGATAAATTTCATGAAAGCACGGGGGCTACGGACTATACCGTTAAACATTTCTATTGTGGACAATCAACTTAAAGAAAATATAATTGTTTAATTAAATTTTGGGCAATTTTTATTGATTGGTTTTCTATAACAGTTCACACCACTTATTTTGAGTATTTATAATACCATACTTCAAAATCAATTGTCTAATGTACTATGTACTTTCAATGCCAAATGAAATTCCAGTTCAACTAATTAAAGCATAATTGGTGTTCAAACTATAATGAATAAAAGCAACAGGAGCTGAAATTAAATCAATTTAAGGCATGATTTGTGTGTGGGGGAGGGGTTACGGACTATATTCATTATCTTCATATTTTTTTTTTCGATTTAATGCAATGCATATAACTCAAGATGGTCATTCAAAAGGTGTATCAGTATATAATTTATCATAATCATATGGTGTATTTAAAAAAAAAAATAAATTGCAAAACATGATTGACCATTTGAAGTAAAAAGCATAATAGTACAATATTTACCCATAAAGAATCAATGCTTTTTTAAAAATTAACAATTCAGTGACAAGTAGATTGGGTGGCAAAATTATAAGAGTGAAGGCCTCACTTTGTACTAAATTGCAAAGTAAGGAGTTGATCCTTATGTTTTGGGATCAAATCCCACAAATCCTACAATGGGATGTTAAGACTGGTCGATGAGAACTAATAAACCATTGAATGCCCATTTTGCTGTAGAGATAAGTAGGAAAAAAATATCTTGCTAATACAGAAGTACGGTTATATTATTATTATAAATTTGCTGAATTTATTTGTAGAGTCCGTAGCCCTTTTGTAAGTAGGATTTGTGTGGCTAAATATTCTTTTAAAAATCTTCCAATGCTAATCATTGTAAATGGATTGATAGTATGTATCACAAGAAGGAAAACTTTATCATGTATAATTAGAAATATGTTGTGACCACAAACATAACAGGACAGACTATAGAAGCAAGCTTTTAGTTGAAAAATGTTAATTTTCAGATATTTTATTTTTAATTACAGTGGTATTTGTATCTAAAACATTGCATTTGTTCAAATAAACATATTTTTGTATTGTACTTATTGTATCAATAATGTATATGACTTTTTCTGGAAGTTATTATATTTGGGCTACGGACTATACAGGGCTACGGACACCAATCATTCTTCTATAACTTCTTTTGGTGTTAGCGCAAAAGCTATTCATTACTGTTTTTTACTTTACTGGAAACTGTGAAAATATGTAACAAGAGCATGATTAATTCTACATTCTTTTGTTGTAAACAAACTATAATGAAATATGGGGCTACGGACTATACAAAATATTAGACCAGTATGGAAAATAAAATACAAAATGCGCACACATTCTACAATATAACCACTATATTTTTCTCATAGTACTTTTTTCTTAACTTAAATAATTTTTTTAAACAAATTATATTTGCTCTTTCTTGATAGAAATTTTGCATTTATTCAAACATTGATAAATCTTAAATTATGCACACATTTATTCATAATTTCCACAATTTTCATCCTTTTCTTTTCTTTAAAAAATAAATTTAACCAGAATGATTTCTCTATAATAAAGTACATTTATTTTGGAATGCTTCATTCAAAATTTTTCATTCAAAATAATTTTAATTTACCATTCTTTAAAATGTAAAAAATCAAGTGCAACAGCACAACGCTTCAAAAATTATGAATCTTTGACTGTATTCGGTTGTTTTTTTCAAAAATGCAGATAATATATATATATTATATACCAATGGAAAGCTCTCATTCTGATCTTTGCAATGCATCAAAAGACATTTAGATTATATGTAACTATAAAGAGTTACATCTATATAACATCATTTAGTTGGAATTGGGCACCTAAACTTGTCCAAGCCGAAATCTAAAAAACATAAGCTACCAAGTTGCTTTCTTACACTAGTTATAATGGT